AAACAATCAAAAGACAAAAGAAAAGGTTAGTTGAAAATAAAGCGTTCATTAATCTCGTTGGGACTAAGAGTGCCCAATAGGTGAATAAGCCGCATTTATTTCTCGCTCAGGCGTGCCATGGCGCGTCAAAAAATCATAACAAAGCAACGACCAATCAAAATTCAGGATCAAGTAAACCAATGAAAACCTTTATATTATGCTAAATGGACAGTTGGTTGGATATGAAAGTCTTTAAGGTCAATGTTATGCAAATGATGAACGAGGAACACACACACAACTTGTTTTTGAAATAACCTGAATTGAAAATTAAACGAAAATGGCAACGAATGAAAATGAAATGGAAAAATGAAAATGAAAAGGCCGAGTTTTGGTGTAAGATCCAAATCTACCCAGAAGAAATCCTTCAAGCGCCTGGCCATATCATCGCCCAGCTTGAAAAAGAAAAAAAAGCGATTGAGGAGGAAAAAGAACTTCTCCTACAAGAATTGGAAGGTAACTAAAAGAAAAATAAGTTATGAAAAAAACTGCTTAATATTGATTTTTATGATTTCCTTTTTTACAAAACCTCAGAGAGAGCATCCCAGCTTCACGATGCCATGAAAGAACTACAGAAAGAAAAGCTTCATGGAAGAACATCACATGCAGAAGTAGGGCAGCGTCAAAAACAGCGTAATCTGAAGAAAATACGGTAGCTTATTGTCAAATCCGTTCTGTTTGCGTTTTTGTCGTTTTCCTTTCAATGAGGGCATCATTACAACGCCGATTGTGTGAATTTATTTTTCCAGTGAAGAAGCAGCGCGTGCTTTGTGGTTCGCCCAAACATACGGTCTGACTACGAAATCTCTGCTGTTTGAAGACAGCAATGGTTCAGAGATCAAAGTCGATTTATTACAAAAAGGTAAGGAAGCAAGAAAACATTTGCGTTTCTGTGGATATAAACTCAAAGACTATTCCTTTTTTTCACGATGTAAGCTTAAATTTCTTTCCTCTTTCTCTATCTAGAAAAAAATACATACGAAATGCTGGAGGCAGAAGAAAAAGATAAAGTGCGAACTATTCGTATAGGAAATCGCACGATCTCGAGTACAATTTGGAAATTAATAGACACGAGTAATGTTTTGAAAGTTCTTGTAATTGCACGAGCTTTTAGGCGAGTACAATTAAAGAACTTTCAAAACATTWCGAGTGTCTATTAATTCCAAATTGTGCGAGAAGATCGTGCGATTTTTTGTTTATAGTTCACTCAACAAAATTTCAGTAAAAAATGCGAAGCGACGCCGTTCATCTTTGTCTATTTGGCGGCCGAATTCCAGTCCATCGTGCAACTGAAATGCATAAAAAAGATTAGTTCTTACGGCTTTAAAATTTTATTTATGCTTTTCAAGTACAAAATGATAGAAAATAATTGTTTTGAAATTGTTTTGGTCGTATTGCCATAGCGACTTAATTCGGTACTCCTACGGAGTACAATTAACGCTATAATTGTACTCCTCTCGACCAATCAGAGTCGAGTAATTTTGTTGAGTGTACTATTCTATACATAATGGACCGGTTTTCGATTTCCCTTGACGGCTACCACCAGTTAGCACAGGTGGAACCTTCGCTGCCTCGAACACATATCATCGAGAAATGTGCTAAGCACCTCGATGGTCAATGGGATGTGACAAAGACACCCGGAGAGAGCCCTGGAGCGGAGCTTCCTTTTCCTTTTCTTCTAGAAAAAGAAATCAAACTGCTTGTAAGTAAAACAAGTACCTTATGCAACCTGTAATATCTATAAATTTTAAAGTATCACAAAGAAATTGAGCCTTATGGTATGTATTTTTTCCTTCTAGCTCAAATCTGGTGCCTACCCTGACAAGATAAAAGTCAAGCTAAGTGGGGATGGGGTTAGGATGTCCCATTCAAACAACCTTTTCGTCTTTAGCTTTGCCTTGTTAGATGTTAATGGCCAAAATATCTTGTCAAGTGCAGGTATTATTATCATTATTAATTAACTTTAACTTAAGTTTTACTTTATACTGTGGTTCTACAAATCCTGGGATCTCAGAACTTCTAACCACTTGCTATGGAATGGGTTTTTCACTGCCACCAATCAAAACTACCTTTTATGCTTTTGATTAATAGCAGCGAATAACACAATTTAGAAGGATAATAATATTTTTAACACCTTTGTCTTCAAAATTAAGAGATACTGGATGGATGTTTTACTAATAATTTTATGATTTTCATGTAGGAAACCACACAGTTGCACTTGTTGTTGGAAATGAAGACTATCAACAGCTTAAAGTGTCRCTGGCCAATGTAACAAGGGATGTTAATAACCTTATTAAAGAGGGGAGCATAACTGTCGAAGAAAGGAAATTTAATTTGGAATTCTTYCTTGGTGGTGATTACAAGGTAATAAAAAATTATAAAAAGCTAAATAGTCCATGCAAAATCACATCAAAAATCTCTTCATTGAATTTATGTATCAATTGGCTTCTTATTCATTTCACAGTTTCTTTTTAATGCAATGGGGATGAAAGCTGCCACTTCTGACAACAGCTGCATCTGGTGTAAGATGCACAAGAATGAAAGGTATCAATTTTATGTATATTTAAACTAACATCATTATTTTATCCATCCATTGGATCAGTGAATAGTTGAATTGGGGAAATGAGGAAATATTTCTTGTATTCGTTGCTGCATCTTAAGTTGCAGTGGATTTCAATAAAATAAAATAAAATTAGTTATCACAATAATAATTGACAGTATTGTCTTTTTTTCACCAGATGTAATATGAATCATACATGTTCATATTTCTCTAGCTTCGAAATGAAGAGAAAACTGGGCAAGGAATGGCATAAGCAACCTGGTTGCCATAGTTCACCACTGTTCAATGTCGACATTGATCACATAGTCATTCAGTACTAGTCATTCAGATTTCAGTACCAGTGTGCCAGGCTGAAGAAGTACCAGCATCAACCCAACTCGACCAAGTCCCCAGCGATCAAGTCTCCAGATTCCAAGCCTACAGCTCCCAAGTCCCCCATTTGCAGAATATTCGAGAGAAGTCCTCTTAAAGAAGAAGGTTTCTGAGCTTCTAAGTCTCTTAAAATCAAAGGCTGGCATCGTCATGGGAAAGAAAAAGAGGAAAGAGGTGGTGATCCAAGCACTGATGGAACATGGAAGAGAAGATTAGTCCACTCCATTCATGGACACACACGAAAAAGGCTCTTTTCAGAGCCACCAAACCAATAAAAGTCAAAAACCAAACTATGCTAAAACATTGATACAATCTTAACTTCATTCTTGCTGTTATTGTCTTTTTTCCTTCTATTTCTTCTCAGCATCATTAAGGCATGGCTCTCAGATGAAAAACTGATTAGCTATATCATAGCCCGTTTTCTACGAATCTTCCCCAAACTTGGCAAGTTAATGTTTTTTGTGAAAAGAAGGAACCTTAGAGCCTTGGTT